TACTATAGTTGGGCTTCTAACTACAAGTCAGTGGTCAGAATCTACCAGCTGCTCTGTGGAAGAAAGATGAGGCTTTCTGTTCCCATAAAGATTTACAGCCTTATAAATCCTATGTTGTTGTTGTTGTTATGTGCCGTGGAGTCGGTTCCAACTCATCGCAACCCTGTACAGGGTTTCCGAGGCTGCAAGTCCTTACAGGAGCAGAAAGCCTCATCTTTCTCCTGCAGAACAGCTGGTAGTTTAGAACTGCTGACGTTGCGGTTCACAGCCCGATTCGTAACCACTACGCTACCAGAGCTCCTTTATAAATCCTATAGGAGCTCCACTCCACGGCACATAACCACCACTACCACCAATTTTAGTTTATTCCTTTATATACACGAAACACAACCCAGAAATTTTCATACTTTTCAGAATTAATACATATGAAAACATTGAGAGTGACAAGAAACATGCAAATATTTCAAAAAGAGCAATGTGTTCCAGCAGATTCAAAATGAATAGGCACATTCCTGACTACATCTTAGCACATAACTTTAATGCATAGTATTTAGCTTAGAGACTATGGTGCCTTACAATTGTACATCTCAATAAATGTGAATGAAACAATTGAACAAATAAGTTAAGAGCCAATTTGTAAACTAATCTTTCTTTTCTCGATAAATTTGGCACTTAATATTATGAAATGAGTGTTTTCCAGATACAAAGCTTAATATAGATAAACATTAGTGATGCTTACATACTGTAAGAAAATAAGTAAAATAAATTTGAATCCAAATTATTTTGTGGATGGTACCACTTCTCCCATCTGGTGTGGTACTGTAGGATCAACACTGGAATTCTAACCACAAGGTCAGAAATTCAAACCCACCAGGTGCTCCTTGGAAACCCTACATAGGGTCACTATGAGTCTGAAGTGACTCCAGGGTGCTTAACAACAACTCCCAACCTGGAGCAAAGTGGAAAATATAGATGACACAATGCATTCTCTGTGTTAGTATAAATATCATTATACCAACCCTTATGGGTTTAGTAATTTAACAGATGCATTATAAAGAAAAATTATCTGGAGTCAGGAATCTGCTTTCTATTTCTGACTGACTACATAATTTTAAAACTAATCACTCATTCTTTTTAAATTCCATAGCCAGTAAAACCAATACCTAACAGAATACAATGAACAAATTAGTAGTGATTTCTAAAGTTGTAAAAGTAAACTTCAAACTCTGTCTTATTTTTAAAAGGTGTAATTAAGGCAAAGAAATATTGTGGATCTGTTATAAAAAATAAAAAATATAACTAAATATCCTTATATAAGAAACTTATTTTTACACAATGATGGATTGACATTTTCTAAACAAAATAAGGAGAATACTTGGTAGGTAAACTTTATGTACTACCATAAAAGTTAATAACCAATTCAAAAATATTTTGGAGCACTGATAAAATATTTTCTGGAATTAAAGCTAGTATCACAGATAAAATGCAGTTTAAAACAAAGATCACAACATTTTTCTTTGTTGGTAAGACAGTTCTAAATCTGAGTTTTGCATGTTTTAGTTTAAGTTGGCTGTGTAATAAAATGTATAAATTCATAAATACAGCCAAGATTAACAAATTTAATCTGTATATTTTGTTGTTTTGTTTTTTCCTCAGACTATTATGCTTGGATAGCAAATATGATTTATGGGAAGGACAGTACAATTTGATATCCTCAGTATAAGCATTACATTCTGGATTAAGGACTAAAACAACAAATTAAATCAGTGTCACTGAAAGCTGACTATACCAGTCATACTATAAGAAACTTCCAATTCATGAGAAAATACTATGTTTAACCATTATTTGTTGTTGTTGTTGTTGAGTGCCATCGAGTCGGGTCCGACCCATAGCGACTATTGTAAATTAATCCTGCACTTTTGGAGATGTTGAGACCAATGTTTTTAAAACCTGAAATTAAACAGTTTCATGTGAATAAAAAGTATTGAAATTCTTTTGAAAAGCACTTTATTTCTGTGATCAACTTTATGTTGTTTAGTTCTACTTTCCTAAAATTAAATAAACACTTAGGACAGTATTTAAAAGCATGAAAGTTAATAAACAGGAAAATGGTGATGATACAAAGGTAAACTTCAAAATATGACAAATTCAATTCGAAATAGTTTCAGAATTATTATCCACAAAATTGAGAGGAAAACATTTTTTCTAAATATGGCATGTATATTTTAAAAGATAATATATGTGTTTTGTTTTAAAGTTGCTAATTCTTGGAACTTTCTGTCCAGTTTTCTGTTGGCTACTATTAGTGCTATGTATTATTAAGATTACATTTTAAAGTATAGATAGCTCTTTTGAAAGAAATATTAATTTGTGAATTCTTTTTAAAACCTCATGATTACAAGCATACTTAAAAATAGGCACAAATTCATTCCTTCAATAATATAACTCACCCAAAGGCATCTGCAACATAAGACATAATTTAATGAAATTATTTGAAACAAAGTTGAATCAGATATGAAAATCTGTATCATTTCAGTAAATGTAAATCTCTTGCACACAAAAGATAAATAGAGAGAGGTAAGCGATTTATAAATACAACTGGGAAGTACTAGTTGAGAATGTTGTGTAAATATCATTCCTTATAATTTAGAGAAATACTTGTCAGCCTTTGTAATGCTTGTTTAGGAGCTCTGGTAGCGTATTGATTATGCGTTGGGCTGCTAAGCTCATGGTCAGCAGGTCAAAACTGCCAACTGTTCCCCAGGAAAAAGATGAGGCTTTCTGCTCCCAAAAAGATTTACAGCCTCGGAAACCTACCCAGGATCGCTAGGAGTCTCAGCCTACTCGGGAAGCAACTCCATGGCACACCACCAATGCTTGTTTGTTACTTCTGAGATTTGCTTTTATTGAGATTTATTCATTTCACTTGGTGATGGTGGTTACTGCTATGGAGTTTGTCCCAACTCATAGCGACCTGCCATAGGGTTTCTGAGGCTGTAAATCTTTATAGGAGCAGAAAGCCTCATCTTTGTCCCATGGAATGGCTGGTAATTTCCAGCTGGTAACCTTGAGTTTATCACCCTGACCCTTAACCACTAAACTGCCAGAGCTCCTTAATTTCATTTAGATAGCTGCTTTTTGTCATTCACTTGAATCACTGGGACACACTGGAAAATCTAGTCTTAAACTTTTTTCATTAATATGAATAATGAAGCACTGATCAGCTTCAACACACATAATGCCTAAATAGCAATTCAAGGTTGACTGAAAAACCAAGATTAACAGAATTTTAACTTGAGGCTTGATGACTAAATTTTTTTATGAATACCATTTATTGTATTTTTTCATTCAATATTATTTTGACTATGGAGGTGAAATCTTGTTCAATAAGTTTGTCTTTACTGTAGTGAGATTTGCTTTGAAAAAACAAACTAGTGATTCATCAAAATGAAGATAATTTTTTCCAGATGTGTTTGCTTTGCATCTAGTTGAATTATCTAAGTAGGACTACTATTTCTGTTACTGCCTTTAATCTTTGCCCACAACTCTGTATAGTATTCTACTAAGGACAACCGGGGAGGGCTAGTTTCACTTTTTTGAACTCAGCAGCACCAACACCCACATCCAGAACAACAATAAATCAAGAAAATATCCTTGTGTTATGTATCTTAAATGAGTTGAGAGAAGAAAGCCAATAGACTAAAGGGATAAAGAATGAAACTAAAATACATCTCATCATTGTCAGAATTCACTTAAAATTTCAAATGAAAACTTCATTCTTGAAAAACACACACCACAACACAATCTTTGTATTCAAATAGAATTATATCTTCAGACACTTAAAATTAGAATAAGAATATTTACTTTTGAATTGAGTTTATTTTTAAACTTCCACCTTCTACCCCTCAGGCGAAAGGGGAAGGGATTAGCTACTTGCTAATGGCCCCACACTTTAGTAACAACACGTATATTTACATTTGTATATTAGCATTTTACTTAGGTGTATGCTCTTTGTAATGTTCAATCTAATGAATCTTCCCTCCACTTTCTTTTTCTTTCTGAAGCTGAAGACTTCTGAGGTGATACCAATACTTTAGAGTTAGTTCTACAAGGAGGTTTTTGTAGCTATCAGGAGGTTTTGCTGAAGACTAGGAACTATTTCCCTGCACTATCTCAGTGTTCAACATCTCTTCTCCCACCAATCAGGAGTGCTCTTCCCACTAGGATGTGTTCAAAGATAAAGCTCTGTGGTCCAGTAGAACATTCCAGCAACTGTAAGAGTTCTGTTTATCTAACATGTTTCCTAAAGACTGAGATTGTAGTGACTGCTCCTCACACTAATCCCCAACCTCTTTAGAGAGAATATCAGAAAGTTAACAGCAAGGGTTGTGGAATCTTCATGTTAAAGCTTAGTACTGACAATTTCTCACTATAGACTTTAGTGTCAAGTCCTTCAGGAGACAATCTGACTACAAAGTCTACATGAGACAATCACTCCATCCTACTACTTCCTCTGACAGTAGCCACAAGATTTCCTGCCTCCATCGGACACCATAGTCCATCACCTCTAGCTCTCTCAACCAAAAGATTTATTATAAGGTGATTTGGGATTAGAGTCTCTTTTTTTCTTTCTTTCTTTCTCAAAAGTCCTGTTGATTTAAATTGCTTCAAATAATTAAAGATTGTGGCAACTCTTCGTTATTATGGAGTGAGATGGACAGAGTAGGGAGTATTGTTGAAGTATCTACTAAAGCTATAATGTTTCCCCAAGATTCTTGCTTAAAAATAATTTTTTATACCTAATTCTCACACCATACTCCCAAGATAAATAAATTAATACATTATAAATAGCTACATCTCCAAAACCTTACAGTAACATCAACCAGGCACATCTTCTAAAAATGTCCTACTAGGCAGAGAAGAAACAGAGAGGGAGAGGGAGAAAAAGAAACTGAGTGCGTTATTCAACAGAGAAGAAAACACAAATCAGAAGCGATTACCAGAGTTTTGGTCCCGTTCTTGCTGAGAGGGCCCCGGAAAACTCCCTTGATGTTGCGAAAGTGTCCGTTGCTGAGATGCGTGGAGCTGATGACAATGTAGTAACACTCCATGGGGCAGCCGCCGCCTCCTCCACAGCAGCCGCCGCTTCCATACACCCGCGCCCGCAGCCGCAGCGCGCCAGAGCCCGGGGAGGGTGGGCTAGGGACTCGCCAGCAGGGCAAACCGCCGCCTCTTGTACACCTTCCAGCGCCCGGCTCACTACACCCCTCTGCAGTGGCTCTCGTGTTTCCGCATCTTCGCTCCGCTCTCCCTCTCTGTTCCTCTCTCTCAGTGTCTCTTAATTCGCCTCGGGGTTATAAGTCCGCGGGAGGATCCCGGGATGGGAGGGCCCAGACGTGTAGGACCTAGCCAAAGGGGAATCAGTGCCCGCGAGGCGGCCAAGCGGAGCCAGGCAACGGGAGTCGCCCGACCGGCAGTGGTGGTGGTGGCGGCGGCGGCGGCAGCATCCCCAGCGCTTGGCTCGCACACTCGTAGTTGGTGCTGCTCGCAGGCATGAGTGTTATTATAGTGAGCGGCGTTGCCGGTCCATTGCACTGAGCCAATGGCAGGGAGCCACTGGGCTGATACTGAGAGCTGTCAGAGGAGTACATCTGTCACCCGCTGCTCCCCCGCCCTCCCCCGCCGCCGCCGGGACCCACGGCCGCGCCAGCCAGGGCGCGAAAGGGAGCGCGCAGTGAACCAGGCGCTCCCAGCGCGGCGCGGCGCGGCGGCCGCAGAGGGCGAGGGACGCAACGGCCACTGCGGGCGGGCGGCAGAACGGCTGGCCACCGAGAAGTGGGAGACTCCTATAAGGTGCAGGCGGAGGGGAAAATGAAGAGACAGCGATTTCCTGCTTAGCAGTTTGGTGTGGGGAGAGGGGAGGGGGGCGATAAATAAATAATTCACTGCCAAAAGCCAAACGTTTCCAAATGCAGCGAATCCCAGCGATGCTAGCAGTGGCTCCCCCTTCAAGATAGTTGCTGCCCGTTGCGTTTGACTTATTTGATTTTATTTATTTTTAATGTATTTTTGGTAAGGAATCTGTTTCCTGTTCTGAATCTTAGTAGAGAAAAGAGAGCAGGGAGTAGGAGGTGGGGTGGAAGGACGCCTCTACCCCCTCCTCTGTGCAGAAAATGTGAAAGCTTGTATTGATGATGATAGTGTGGGGGGAAGGGGCGTTGTGGCGATGCTAGTCGAAGTGGATAGAAGATAAAACTGGGACTCCTAGTTTATGTGCCTTTCATTTTGGCATTCCCCTCACCCACCTCCCATGAGAACCTCAGTTCTTCCTAAATTGCCAAAGCTGAGAGGAAAGGGATGCTTTGTAGCAAAGAAGCTACTGCCAGGAGCTTGCTTTGCATTTCTCTATAGTTCTGCAGCTACAGAGCGTGATGTTTAACAAAAGCGTTCGCCCAAGAATCAACCAGAAAGAATAATCTCCTGCAAGGGAACTAATGTGTTTGTCTTGCAAGTAGAGAAGGGGGTATGCTAAGTTTCCTGGAGGCAGCCAGTGGAGCTTGTTTTTATGGGGTTAGGGCGCAGCTGCCTTCCAGCCCTTCCTCTTACCCAGGTATTTCTCTCTGAGTAAATTTAGGTCTTTTGAGGTGGTGGAGTGAAAGTATCCCATCAGGTGTGAGTGTGTGTGTGTGTGTGTGTGTGTGTGTGTATGTATATATATATCATTAGTCCTCACTTAAAAAGATCGATAACTGTTCATATTCATAGGAGACTGGGAGATGGTGCCTTCAATGGATTTACTGAAGGCTTTCTTTGCCTTTTGCCTTGAATGGCTTAATTGGTTAAAGCAGATTCCAGAAAATTCTGATGCTTCTAAGGCAGAGCAAACTGCACTTTGATATAAACTGTGTTTATGTTATTTATTTCAGGTTCGAGATTTCCAGATGTCCCATTCCTGGTGTTCTATATAGAGTTTTAGAGCAGGGATCCTGGAAACCACAGTATGGTTCTTAAATAAATTTTCCAGTTTGATATCACTTTTTAAATAAGAATATTCATAAGGAAGGCAATAATGTAAAACATTATAAAATATTGGTGAAAATGGGGGGTGGAATGTTAGAATCATCTAAAGAGAAATTCTCTGCCATGCTGCAGTGCAAAAAAAAGAGTTGTTGTGGACTATCAGAGCTTTTTATGAAGTGGCAAAGTTATTTAGAAGCACTGGCTAAATTTCTCACATATCCACTTGGGGGAGTCTGGAAGTCTTGTGAGAAAAAGCATTTACAAAACTTTTATACTCTATGGAAGACAACACCAAATGATTTGTTAGAATTCAATATGTAACAATGCTATTAGAAAGAAAAAGTCTTTAAGTGATCTCCAGTAACATTATGTGGAAATGACTCATTTCTGACCCTAACCATTACAGAGCTATTTTTCATTTATATTTTAAAGATTCAGGTATTCTCTGGAGACATCACTTTTGAAAGGACTGGTGACCTGTATGGTTTCCAGCATGTTGGAGTTTGGGGAACTTGTGGTTATTAAACAGGAGCTAAAATCTTTACTATTACTGAGCCATACAAAGAAGATGAAAGTAGCACCATAAGATCAAATAAATGCTTTCGTTTTTGGTGCATATACATGTCACAATAATCTAAGATAGGGCTTCTTTGAAATTCTTTTTTTTTTTTTTCCTCAAAAATACTTTAGTGAAATGTTTAGATATGGATCTAGAGCATGAAGCCCAATTTTCAGTTCAGAAAACAGGAACCATGATCATGTGAATTCTCTGTCCCATAGAAAAGAAGATTCACCATATAATGCTGTATTATATTTATCATGGAAAAATGTGTATGTAAACAAACACATACACAAGGGACATCCAAAGTACTAAATTGAATTGACATCTAATGGAATTTTTCCACAAACTTTCTGAAGGCCCCTCATTTATGTGTATATAATATGTATATACACTTATAAGGGAACATAGTGTCTCTGTAGGATAAGCGCTGGAGTACATACTGTTCAAGCTCACCAGCCCATCTTTGGGAGAAAGTCGAGGTTTTCTGCTCCCACAGAGATTTAACAGTCTCAGAAACCCTGTACAGGGTCTCTGTGAGTTGGAACAGACTTGATGGCTTAACAGCAATAACAACAACATGCATATATATGGGTCTTTGTGTGGTGCTGTAGGATAAGCATAGGCTTGCTAATCAAACCCACCAGCAGTGTCTCAGAAACCCTATACAGGGTTGCTATGAATTATAACTGACTCGGTGGCACTTGACAATAAATATATATTTATTTATTGTCAGTATATGCATATATAGAATTTTCTAATAAATATAAACTTTAATGAAATCCCATAGTGATTTATAAAAAGCTACTTTCCTGTATGGTGTTTCTTCCATCCTTTAAGTTATCAGCCCAGTGCATTAACTGTTTACATCACCCAAGTACTCTAAGTACATGAATAAGCATCTTTACATTTCCTATGTAAAAATATTTCTGCATACTTATGGTCTATTCCCATTATTTAAATTGATCCTAATTTCTCAGGACTATTGTTAACCTTTTTGGCATTAACTCTTTATGTGGAACAATGCCACTCTAATATTTAAAAAATAATATAGTTTGCTTTTAGTAATTTAGAGAGTTCATAGATTACTTTAATTCGTTAACTGCTTATTCTAAACATACAGAATCAATATCTCTTAGTTAGAAAATATTTAAAATATTTTGTGGGATAAGTATAGATCATGTGTGTCTATTTGTCAGCTTTCCAGCTAAGAAACATTGCAATTAAAAAATGTAAAACTTTTCAATTTAAAAATGTAAATGCAAAGTGCTAAGTGACAGTAGACTAACAGTTTTACAATTTGTTTCTGCCACTATTATACTTCCATTTTCCATTTGTATACCTGTATACCCCTTTCAATAATATAAATTCAAATTAGGATTGACTATGTTTTGTGCTTGTATTGATTTACCTCTTCATTCTTTGTTCTTCATATTGCTTTGCTTTAACCCAAATCTGGCAATTAGATTCTGCTCAGTAACCAAACAGTACTCCTAGTCAGCTCCTGGCTCATATCCTAGATTTTAGGACAATGTTGTTGCTCTGATATGTAGAACCAATGTAATATCCTCTTTCCCAGATCAGTGTAGGAACCCATGAATCCAAAGTCCTTACGCTCAGTCCAGTTCTTCCAAACAGAAGCAAATCCTTCCATAATTTGCTGACTAATATCCTGGTGTGGATGAGCACTGAACTGCTAACCACAATTATTTATCCTCTGACCTCCAGTTTTGGAACATGACCCAACAGCCTTAAATCTGACCTGCTAATTTTGGGATTCATCAGTTTCCGTAGTTTGGTATCAGACCTGTCCATTTCGAATTTATTAGCCTCTGCAATCATCTGAGTTAAGAGAAGCCTGACGACGGACCCACATACTTGGCAGCCTCTAAAGTTGTGTGGACCATTTCCTTGAAATAAATTTCTTTGTACATAAATCTCTATCTCTTTTACTGTCTCTCTATGTTTTTATCTCTCTAGTTGAATCTTTCTTTTTGACCTCTCTGTTGTTGTAGTAGTGTGCCATTGAGTCTATCTAGAGCTTCAAAGACTGGCTGGTGGGCTTGAACTGCCAAGCTTGCAGATACCAGTCCAGAGCTCTATGCATCTATATATAGAGAGAAAGTTTTGGTGTGGCATTGTTGGGTAAATACTGGACTGCTAGTCACAAGTCAGCAGTCACACCCACCAACTATTCCTTGGAAACCTTATACAGGGTTGCTATGAGTTGGAACTGACTTGACGACACTTAACAACAACATATGAGAGAGAGAGAGAGAGAGTAAAAGCGCTGTGGCTCTGTAGGATAAGTATAAGTACTGGTCTTCAAACCACAAGGTGTTGGCAGTTTGAACTCACAAGACACTCTGCCAGAGAAAGATGAGGCTGTCTGCTTCCACAAAAGATTTACAGCTTCAAAATCCCTATCAGGATCACTATAAATCAGAACAGACTAGACAACACTTAAAAATAACAAACTTACCACAATGCTGGTGGATCATAGCCAACATCTGTTCCTTGGAAACCCTATAC